AGAATAAACCAGTATCCTCAAAATAATCTCAAATTCTCCACCTCATCCTAACAAAAACTTGACTCGATCTAAGCTAATTTTTGTTTCTTAACCCAGATAAGCTCAACTAAAATTTCACTCTGACGTAGGTCTCCCACCTATACTAACTTAACCATTTAGCACAACAAGCAGCCGAAATTCAACATACAGATGAAAAGAAAATGAAATACCAGTCGAGTAAGTAGCTTTATCATTTCCTCTGGACAAAGAATAATTTTTTTTTAACACGAGAAAATCAAAGTGAACAGAAAAAAAAGAACTTACATGAAGATGAAATGGAATTTCTAGAAATCCCAGCAAAACATGGAACCAAAGGCAGTGATGGAGGCTTTGCGCTGCTGCTGCTGCTACTTGTAGTTAGTGGTGTTTTTGGAAGAGTCAGCCCCTTCATCTTTTACGCCTTTCTCTTCGAAAAAATATTTCACAGATTCATTTCAGCTCCTATAGTCTTGAACGAATGAACTACTCCCTGCTTCTTGAATGAAGACTGGTTGATTTACAAATGGGAAACCACTTCTTTTCCTTCTATCGGTGTTATCAGTGTGGTTTGCTTATTTCGTTCTCTCTGTGGAGTTGCTGCTGGCTGCCACGTGTACAATAAGATAAAACGCTACTGTTATCAGGAACGACGACGTTCGATATCCGAGCTTTTTCTCCCCTGACCCTTCTCATTGTTGAGGAGTTTAAATGTCATGGGCCTTCTTGTCCAGTCTTTTCTAGTTCTTGCTCATTTGAGGAAGGCCCATTCTCTAATTTAATTTTGATTAATTTTAATTTGTATAAAATATGTTGACTGGAATGAATTTAAACTGTGGACGGTTAGATCAAGTACAATGTGATTTTTTTCCTCCTGTTCGTATATGAATTAGGATCAAAATATTTTAAAAAAATAATCTTAAAAGCTCACTTTTTACATTAAAGTGGTAGTGTTTTAAAAAAAAATTATTTTGATTGATTTGATATAATACTCGAACTCAAAAATTTTGCCATTGGTTAGTTTAGTTGAAATAATTTAAAAAATGAATTTGAATACTGGATGACGAAGATAGAAAAGTTTTATGATTATTAAAATATTTTTACTTAAAATCTATTTCTTTTAATTGTATTTTTTAAGTGGGTTTTAATAAGTAATTAATAATATATATTATTAATTAATTTCTAAGCACGAAAAAGCATAGATCAAGACCATGTAACTAGGTTTTAACTATGAGAATGTTTGGTGTTTCTGAAAAATTTAATTGTTTTATTAAAAATTATTTTATTTTATAATTTTAAATTATTTTGATGCATTGATTTTAAAAATAATAAAATATTATTTTAATATAAAAAATAGTTTAAAAAACAATTACGACTCTACTTTTAAATATCCTATACCATATTTTGTCACCTCGGAAAAATTAGAGTCCGCTAGGATACACGTGAGTAACACGTGAATTGTATAATGTTCTCTTCAATTATTTTAACACAGGGATCCGATGGGGGGAGAGGAAGACAGGTGAAGGATCCAAAGGATAACATCAAGAGTCAGGAGACTCAGTCAATAACCTATAGTTGAGAAATTCAATCAATTCTTTTCGATAACATTTACTGTTCTAGAACAACGACATGAGATTTTTGTATTGATTGTGAATTAAAATGCTTTTTATTTAAAAATATATTAAAAATAATATTTTTTATTTTTTAAAATCAACACATCAAAACAATCTAAAAATAAATAAAAAATTTAAAATTTAAAATTCAAAAAAACATGAATTCAACCACATTTCCAAAACAAACTAAGAAAAGGAATAAAAACTCATTTGGCTGTAGAGATAGAGATAAGGATATGGAATAAATATATTTTCCTGAATAGTTTTTGCAATTAATTTCTATATTAAAAAACAAACATGTATTATTTATTTTGACTTGTAGCATTGTATGGTGTCGTTATAATGTGAAGGAGGAGGATGAATTTAGGAAAATGGTGCCTGGGCCTCGACAATTATAGATCTCTAGCCTTGTGTGTGGTGTCCAGGTCCATTTGGCTGCATGCTAGTAGTTATGAAGGTAGGCCGAAGTGGACCTACCATCTTCATTTCTGGTTGTTTTTTCAGCATCAATCTATTGCCTTCTTGCAGGATGGTCTTGGTTTCGAGGCACGGAAGTTAACGAGATTAGTCTCGGTGACAGTGATTAGTAAAGCTTGCCTAATTCCTTGATTTTTCAGATTTAGATTTTACGCCCAGCATTCAAAGATATTTGTTATTTTTCTCTATATTATTAAAAATGCTGGAAAAGAGATTTAATATCGAGCTATGCACAAGATATTTATTTTCTTTAGATTAAAGAACCATAGTTAACAAACATGTGTCATTTGGTGGCAAGGCTTTCTCTTAATGAAATCATAATCATTGACGGCCTCTTTCAGTGCTAGTTGTTGACTGTATATAGAGAAATTATTGGACAAGCCTAGTTCGACATCTAAGATCATGACCAACTAGTAAAATTATTACAAATAATCGTGTTTATCTAGATTATCAATTTAATAGATTGTTTATTAAGATATGAATCTTTTCACGTTTCATAGCACAATCATGGTTATGAAATAAAATAATTAATAGCATGTTAATCGTCTAGACGATGTAAACAAATCCAATGAAATGTTAGACTTTAATTAATTCGGTCTATAGTTTTATATAATTGAATTGGATTCATCTAATAATTTCTAATATCAAACCAGAAACATTATATTTAATTATAAAATTTATTTTTTATAAAACTTATCAAACCATCATAGTTTAAAAAATCATGTTAGTTGGAAATTTAATTTTAAATTTATATAATCTTTAATATATTACTCAAAGTAAAAGCTATTTGAGATTTAAATTTGTATAAATTTGTATTTTTTTATATTTAATTTTATTAGATAAAATAAAAATAAAAGTGCTGAGATTAAAAATTTATCATCATATCATTTAATTAATAAAATTTTAATACCAAGTAAAATTAAAAAAAATAGATATTTAAAATCTAAAACACTAATAACTTGATAAAATATAAAACATAATTTATATTATCCTCTTAATAATTCTGCACCAGCTGATGGTCTAGGTTCGTAGAACACCAAACCTAGCCATGCAAGTTCATTAGACTGAAGCCACAAGTAGCTTTAATAATCTCAATTTTCTTTTTCTAAACACACACACCAAAAAAAAAAAAAAAGAGGCAAAGGCAATTCATTGAATCTTTTTGGTATCGCTTTACAATAATTCTCATCAATAGCACGTGACTCTCACGTTCATGAAAGAAGAAGACAGCGCACCCGGCACCCCCTACTACTCCCTTACCCACCAGCCATCATCCCAGAGGGGTAACGTGCAGTTGGTGGTGGACCCCCTTATGCACATGCAGAAGGGTCCCCAGAAAATAAATCAATCAAAGGGCACAAAGTTGGACCAATTACACTTAATCTGAAATACTTTTTTTTTTTAATATTTCTACACTATTTTATAATTAGATGATTCAACTACGGGTACCTAGTTAAAATACCGGTGATTGGTGCAGCTCTCACAAGATCATCGCCACCACGTGCGGTGTCAGGGAGGTCAAAAGCTTGGGGGATTTCCCCCCGTCTCTACGTGTCAGTATGTTATTTGTCTGGTGACGTGGGTGGTGGACCTTATTGGGAGGGATGCAGTTCACGCATTTTGTTGACCGTTCCGTTTTAGGGCTGCCCGTTGCGTAAGCGGCCCGCCCCTTCTTTTTCTTCTACTACCACTGGATACCTATCGTATCCATATATCTCCTCGTAGCGTATCTTTTATTGCCATAACGCCCCCCCGCTCTACCTTATTTGCGCTTATGACCGCGTTGAAATTCGAACATGGAAAGCATTAAAATTCTGGAAAATGCAGGGAGGATGGTGGTAATAATGTTGTCATGCTGGAATAAGGGAGATTATAGTACTTTCCAACTTTATCATCGTGATGACAACAAATGGACTATGAACTGTTCACTTGTGTGCTTGGTCCTTTATTTTGACTATTAATGGACATTAAAATAATTGCATATTTTATTTATTTATTTTATTAATGGACATTATATATATATATATATATATAGACATGGACTAATTCTATTAATATATTTTTCTTAAGAAATTAACCATGACTGTTTCCTCGGTGAAAGTGTTTGCAGAGGAATTTTTGCATGTCGATTCCCTCTTATTATTTTTTAAACAAACCGTGCATATTCAAAAATGACACCATCGAAATAAATTCATTTTTTTACTGTTTTTTTAAAAAAATTCAGATGCTAAATGACAATACAAGGAGAAAATTTATTTATCAACCAAACTAAACATACAAAAATAGTTAATTTACAACTAAGCATAGAGAGAATATAAATTGTAAGGGACATTAGATCATGGTTGACATTATTTTTGTTTTCCTTTACAGAAAATATAATGATTATTGAATTTAAATATACCTTGAATAGATAGTTTCCCTTTTTTACATCATATAAAGTTTATCTACGTAAGAAATAAAAATCTGTAAATCAAAACATAAATTCACTGCACTGAGAATACGTTCCCAAGAACACTTTGAAAGTCTAAAGATTAGAATCTTTCTCAATTACTATTCATGTAAAAAGAAAACCCAGGAAAATCCAAAAGATCATGCTAATCACCAATCATGATGTTTGATTTAGTGTCATCAAGTAGAAATTAGCTCAATCACACCTACTAATCCACGAGACAAAAAGAGGAGCATGCCGTTTCATGCAAAGTAGGGGGCTGGAGTGCTCTTTTTTAAAGGGTCCGTTGAAGAAAACGGGCGTGGAGAATTCATTTATCATCACCCATGAATGAACACTATTACATGGGATACTTGCCCTGCCCACTAGACGTTATAAAATCAACTAAATTTAAATTAATAATGGAAATAGTAAATACCAAAAAAATCCAGACCCCCTCGTTCCCACTAAAAAAAGAAAGAAAAAAAAAAAGAGGAAAAACCCTCGAGTCCATCGTGAGGTAATATAGCCGAAAGAAAAAGGTGAAATGTTCTCTCTCACCTTCAAAACAACAAAACCTCTCTCTCTCTAGAAAATAAACCAACAAATAAACAACCCTTGTGGGTTTCTTCTCCTTCTTCAAAGAAATGGAGTCTCTAGACACGGCTGCTGGTTTCATGGTTGATGACCTTTTAGACTTCGGTTTTGATATAGGAGAGGAAGATGATGACGAAGAACACCAGAGCAACAACAAAAAACCCAGAAAGGGACTTCCTTCCCTTAACCCCAATGCCCTTGCCTCAACTTCTTTCAACGTTTTGGAACATGCTTTGTTACCTGTAAGTTTCTTATCTGGGTGTTCCTTTTATGGGTTTTTAAGACCGGAAGTCGCTGCCTTTGGTGGTATTTGCCCTCTTTTAGGCCTGACTCGGTTTGGCTCTGTTTTTTTTTGCCTTTTTGTGCCTGACGCGGCCTGGTTTAGAGTCTGTTATTCGCTGACTCGGCGACTCTGTCCGGGTTTAGTGGCTGAGTTTAACTGACTCGGCATGATGGTGACTCAGCTGAGTCAAATTGGATGGCCTTGAATAACGGTACAAATTGAATTTTTAATTTTTTCAAAGGACAATTTTGACCACAGGGTCACAACCCCTCCGAAGAGGACGGCGGTTTCAAGGGGGTTGTCTTGGACATTTAATACAAAGAACGTGTAGTCTTTATCGTCGTGAGCTGTCTTTCACAAGGGTGTAGGTGGACCCCATAAATTGTCCTTGTTACTTTCGGGATTTCGTTTCATGCTCATGTTAAAAAGACAATACTGCCCCCGACATCCTTTAAATTACTCTACCATGTCCAAACATTGTTCTGAGTTCTCGATTGTTGACCCTCGAGTTAACTCAGACTCATTGAGAAAAAAATTGAAGGTTTTGACTTTTTAGTTGCTGATCAATTGTTCCTTTTTTTGTTATCTCAGGAATTTGCAGAGGAAGAACTGGAATGGTTATCAAATAAAGATGCTTTCCCAGCAGTGGAAACCTGCTTCGGCATTGTCTCCGAGGAGCCAGACAGCATTCCCAAGCACCACAGCCCAGTCTCCGTTCTTGAAAACAGTACCACTAGCAGCACTAGCATCAGTGGGAATAGCAGTAATAGTAGCATTATTATGAGTTACTGTAGCCTTCGCGTGCCTGTCAAGGCTCGCAGCAAGCGTCGCCACAGGCGCCCTCGAGAAATCCGAGAGCAAGAGCGCTGGTGGAGTCGGGAAAATTCTACAAGGAGAAAACCAGCTGTGTCTGTAGCAAAAATGGGGAGAAAATGTCAGCATTGTGGTGTTGAAAAGACCCCTCAATGGCGGGCAGGTCCAGATGGGCCTAAAACGTTGTGTAATGCTTGCGGGGTGCGATACAAGTCTGGTAGGTTGGTGCCTGAGTATCGGCCTGCGAATAGCCCGACATTCTCCAGCAAATTGCACTCGAATTCACATCGGAAGGTTTTGGAGATGAGGAGGCAGAAGCAGATGACGGGGTCACTTGTTGTGAAGCCAATGGATAAAGGGTAGGGTGGTGGTTATTAGTACCTTTTTTTTTTTTCCCTTTTCTTCTTCTTTTTTGGAGTCATTTTACTACTAGCATAGTTAGGGAGTAGGGGATTTGATGTAATGGGATAGGTGATTAGTGATGATGCTTTGTTTTGAAGGAAATTTACTAGGGGAATTTTGACTTTTAGTGTGCTTGGTTGTGTTTTAGAAATAGAAGGCAAGGTAGTGCTATATTTGGTTTCTCTCGTATCTTAATTCTTTGTTCCATTGCTTGGATAGGAGATGATGAGACTTGGGGTTAATTCGGTGTGCTGGGTGGGTTTTGGTTATAATTTTTGGTTGAGGTTGTGCTTGATCACTTTGAACTAACTAATTTCTGATGGACGAGGGCAATTTTATGAGCTGTTACACAATCCAAATTGGCTGCTTAGAGAAAACCCTCCATGAATAAACACAGACGAGTGTATTGTAAGTTTTGTTTGTCCGCATGGCAAATTTTGCTGTCTTGTTCTTCCTTGTGAAATTCTTCTTCAGATGATGTTTTTAATTGTTTCCTTAACTTAGATCGCTTCATGTATTCAAATGTTCAGTTAAATAGAACTGTGAAACAAGTAGTAGCTCCACAGATTGTGCTTTTCAGGTGGTTGGAGATCCCTGAATCTATCATAGTTTCAGATGTCAGTTGAGGAGAAGCAATAACAGATCCCTGCTTTAGTTCGTGTTCTTATCTCCTTCGTGGGGTTTTATATTATGATTTCTAAGTTATGGAAAGCATTCTATGCGTTGTGAGCTCATTGCTGGTCTGATAAAAAGCCGCTGCTTTGGAGTTTTTGTTTGCAAGTAAATGGCTCTGATGGCCATTCAAGGCTGGAAATGTTAGGCATCAGTCTATTTAAAGACTTGGACACATCATACAAGAGGGCTTAACCGCAGGATACAAGAACTTTGCAGGCTGACGGATGCCTTTTTACCCTTTGTTAAGATTGCATATAAACTGGGTTGGGATATACTTCCAACGTGACAAGGATGAATAATTGAATGAGACTTAGATTTAGTGTTAAAACGAAAAAAAAATGAAAACAACTCTAATCTTGTTTTTCCTCCCTGATTAAGATGATTCAAATCTATATATATAGTATATTTGATATGGCATGTGCAATGCCAGATGATGGTCCGTGGTCTATTTTGAGAGCAGAAACAAGGGTGATCCGGGCCAACCTTTGACAAGTGATGAAGGCAATTGTTCAATCAAATCTGCCATTCCTGTTTGATTAACAATTTGTGAAAGATGAGGGCAACTTGGAATGTTATAAAAATCACCGATTCAATGATTTTAGCAAGGCAATAATTCAAATCGGCATGTTCACATGGGTTTGATTGGTTTAAGACGTTTGCGGTAGTTATGGCATTGAGTACATCAATTTTGTCGCTGAAAATATATTGGATTTAGAATACTAAGCGAACAAATTATTCTCAAAGGTGACTAATTAAGTGTCAATGTTTAATTAATGAACTTGACTTAAGCACTAATCTTCCTTAATTTATGTCGTCATGTGTGGTAAGGGAGGGACTGCACCTATAATTTAAAGAGGGGACAATGAACCTTTGGCATGTAGGTGGATTGACGATGCCACATGGGGGGGTACTGTATGAATGCGCTGGTTTTGGCCAGTGATCGTGAGAAAGGACTAAAATAATTGGTGCTAAAAGGTTTAACACAATGATTGATGATGGACACTAGCTGGCCACTGCAGAAAACCGCAGAGGTAAAGAAACTTTTGTCGAAAACTCTATTTGAAATACAAAACACAAGAGCAAGGTTTTGAGGACACAATCAATTACTTGGAAATTAGAATCTATCTATCTATAACAATTCTAAAATTATGGAACCAAAACCAATCCAAGACACCGAGGATTCCCAGCCAAACCATTCCGAAGAGGTTGGATCGAGTTTGATAAAGATAGACTCGTCCCTAAAACTCCACTCATCAGACTGATGAAGACAATTGCGTTTGGTTTAACAATCAGTTCATCCCTGTATATTACAGGGTATCTTGTTAGCACCTTGCTCTTCAGATATCAGTTTCATTGACAAATTCACAGTGAGAGCTAAGGTGTCAGAGGGAATTCAACAGGACCTTTCTCCGGTAACCAGTACGAAGGGGAAAAAAGCACTACAAGGTTTGCTATTTATTCGTTAATTCTTTGTTATGTTGAGTAATATACATCGAAAGGAAGAAAGAAGTTCTGGGTCTTGTAGTTTAGACCAGGCACGTATGCCTCGTAGACATAGCCCCTTCTCTTTTGCATGAAAAGATCAAAGGAATCTTTTCCATTCACAAAGCTTCCTGCCATAAATGCAGGCCTTGTGAGGTTACTCGGGCTGCTTTCCTTCCAACTAGGAAAAGCCAGGTCCTTCTCAGACGGGGTTTGCCTTCGACACACACCAACGTCAGTATAAAGCGTTTCCCTTTTTCCTCAACGTGGGAGTATACTGCAGCCTGTAGAAGTTGGGAGTGGTTTTGATTTGATTGGAGACAACTGTCGCAATTCACAACGCAAATATTGGATGATTTGCCACAACTGGGAGCCTTGTTGGCCTGTCCTTCGCTGTGTTTGTCATCCATTGATTTATGCTGGGCTTTCGGCATGAATTTTCAACAAAGTTAGCATGGAACTCTTGTTGGGTTCGCTATTCATCTATAGTGTTGTACTCCTGTCCAATCTCTAGTGTCGATTTCCATCACAAGTTGTTACGTGACATGATCTATCCCTGCAAGGCCAGATCCAGAAAATTCAAAACTTAGAGATTGACTCAGAGTTTCTGGTTGAACTGATGAAAATTTTAATTTGAGTTCTTATTCAATCTGTTCAGATTTTAAAATTTTTGAGTGATATGATTAGATTCAATTCAGACCAGACGGAGTCAATTGTAAAAGAAAGAAACCTTTCTACTTTTTTTCTTTTTCCTCTCTTTTCTCTCTCTCTTTTCATTTACTCTCGTCTTCTCTTCTCTTGGCTCTCTGGGTTTTCAAATTTACATCGAAGGTGGCTAAAACAATAACCGACCCATTTCTCCCATGGGGATAGATGAGTTCAATCCACAAGATCTGAGCATGGGTTCCACAGAAAAAGTGAACAGTCCATGACCATTGGATTCAGTCCAATAATTGATGAAAAATGCAAATGGGTAGTGCTTGCACTGATGATTGAGATGGAGGGTTATAAAGCTACGACCATAATAAGGAGAGGAAATGAGAGAGTACCAATTCTTGCGGACACAATTACAAAGAAAGGCAGATTTGGAGGCAGGGATTGAAATGGGTATTCCCGGATAAGATTTTTTAATATTTATATTCTATTTATTATATAAAAATTTGGATATTTTTAAATTATCAAATGGGTTTTGGATATCTATATTAGTATTTATTATTTATCATACAATTAAAACTAAAATAGTTAATATGTTTATACAAGGTTATATATATATATATATATAATTAGAAATGGTATACATCCATGTTTTGTGTTAATTTTGAGATTTTCATATATTATATTGTATTAAAAAAATCTAAATATTTTATAAATATATATTTCAAGTTAGGGTTCAGTTAGATTTCAAGTCATATTTAATAATATTCATATCTTACCTATTATATATTTTCTATTAAATTATCTAAAAAGTATTTATTTATTCAATTCAAACTAAATTAATATTTATCATACGGATTAAATTACCATATATGAAGGTGATAGTGTTTGAAAAACTTCAATTAAAAGGTTATTCAGAGGGAAATTGGATTGATATGACAAGGGATTTCCCCTCTTCTTTTCTTTTTTTTTTTAATTTGGGTAAACGAGATTGGTCTGTGCTTGGCTTTGGATTTATTTGAAACCTGAAATTAAATCCCACCCAATTCCAATGGTTAGTATAATTTTTTGGTATAGACATCTGAAAAACCAGTAATCATAACTTAATTATTAGTCTTCAAGTAAAGATTTTAGATAACTGTAATCCAACCATCAACTTTTCATTCTAATAACTATTACCAGTCGAATTTTTTCAAAAAAAAAAATAATTTTAATAAACTTTTGTAATTATATATTAATTTGCTTACTGTGATGGACAGCACCCATGACTATGATAGTTTCCCACTCTTGTAAGCCTCCAATCATTGGAAGTGCCCATGCATTCCATTTTGCAGTGTATGCTCTCCTGTGCATAACCATTATTTTATTCAAATATGGTAGGGATTATTTTTTTAAAATATTTTTACTTTTAAAATTTATTTATAATATTAATACATTAAAATAATCCAATTAATTTGGGACTAAAAAATGAATTCTTTTCTTAAAAATACAATCAGACTACATTGACAAACACCACCGTGTACTATCATTTTTTTGGGTACTTCTTCAAGGCGTAAGAGCTGGGCAGGGCTCTCTATTCTATACCTTGTAGGTGTTTTAAAATAGTAGATAGAAGCCCACGCCACACCCCCATCAACGGATGAAAGAAGAAAGGTGGTTCTGGTCATCATTTTAACACCCGGGAAAAAAAAAACATTATGTTTAGTTATAAAATAAAGATATAAATTTATTTTTATAAAGTTTTGTGCAATTTTTTTTATCTCGAATGAAAAATAGAGAAAAATATATTCTTTTTATTTCTATTATTTTGTCTTTGAGACAATAACCAAACTTTATTTAACTGTCATTTTAAATATACAAATTAATTTATTATTTTGAGATACAAAATCAATAATGAGAATTCCTAACCAATTAAAGAGCAAAAATTTATTGTAATCGACTTTTCATTCAAATTTATATATATATATATATATATATATCTGGATTTGTTAAAGAAAAATAAAAATATTTGTTTTTAGCTAAAATATATTAAATTGACAAACAACGCATTTAAAACAACTCAGAACATGTTTTTAACTGATAATAAATTCAAACAGGCACCTACCTACAAGGCTTAAATTTACCGTTTGCACACTAATTCAACCCTAACTTTTTAAAAGCAACTCCTGTAGTTGGATAGTTTGAGAAATATTAAATTTAAATCTAGACGAGATAAGAATAGTTGACAACTTATAAGTGACAACTTCAAATGAAAAATCAAAGTTGACTACAGGTATATCTAAGAATCTTTTTTATTACTTCGAAGTTAAGCGTGTTTTTTGAGCTATAGCCATAGATGATTTTCTAGAAAAAACTATATTCCAATCGATAGATGTAACCCATTATATAAAGTCTTTGTTTGTTTTTATATTTTAAAAGTATTTTTAAAAGAATTTAATTTTTATTATTATTAATTAATAATTTTTAATATATTTTGATTATTTTAATATATTGATATTAAAAATAATTTTTATAAAATAAAAAATAATTTTTAAATAAAAATACTTTT